CCCGGTACCACACCGGTTGTTTTTTAGTGCCGGCCCGGTACTGTGTCAGATATTCATCAGTGCCGGCCCGGTACGGTTGCCGGATACCTACACGGAAAAAAAAAGTACGTGAATTTTTCATTGACTCGGTACTTGACTTTTGGATACGACACAAAATACTAAAAACAGTCTAGTACTTTTGCATGAGAGTTTCAAAAGCAGTCAATGAAAATTTCTAGTACCTTGCTTGAGAATTTCATTGACTTTCAAAAAAATTGTAAAATAAAAAAAATAATTTCCACTTGTTCGCACAGTTTTTCTGAAATTCACTCATTCATTCACATATTTGGATAATTAATCACACAAACAAAGAACAATTATTGTATCACTTTTCGACGTTCGTCAACACTTATGAACTAACCTATAACACACACATATATTCGCGTATAACTTAAATATAAACACACACTTAACACTTAAAAGTACGTATCGAATTGTTCTTATATACCACATGGTGAAATTTTTCACGACTTCTGAGACATGCTATTTCACTGAAAACTGAGACTTACATAACATTCTGTTTTGTGAGAAACACAAAACAAAAAATATTTTTTTGAAAGTCAATTCTTGAAGACAAATATATATTAACACTATTTGTTATTCATAAAAAAATAGTATATTCACATCTGAAATTAACACAAACGGAAACAGACGATCAGCTGGCATTTACCTTGGGTAGAAACGCGCAACGCACACTGCGCATGCTCTACAGAATTTTCAAGCGCAGTCAACTAATCTTTCACGTACTTTATAAAACTGAACAAATGACTTTTCGTTAAAATTTAAAAAACACTGTTGCCCATACTAGTACTAAAATAACTCTAGGACTTTTCTATATTTTCTAATAAAAAGTATATGATACAGCCTTGTACTTTGTGTTCTATCCAAAAGTCAAGCACTTTCAAGGAAGGATTCACGTACTTTTTTTTTCCGTGTACCGAAGTTATCATCCGGCAATTTACCGGTACTGCGCCGGTGGAATGAACAGACTTATGCCGGTACTGGACCAGTACCTAGCCGGTTGTGCAGCCGGTAATAAACCGGCACTAAATGCCTTCCAACAATAACCGGGCCAGTACCGCCCCGGTGGACAATTCGGTACCGGCCCGGTACGTATGCCGGATACCTGCCGCAGTTATCATCCGGCAATTTGCCGGTACCGAGACGGTAAAAATTACGGTCTTATGCCGGTACCGCCCCGGCACTTATAATCCGCCGTTTGTACCGGGCCGGTACCATCCCGGTCGTCAATTTCTACCTGGGCTATAGTGAATATTGGAAATATCAACGGTTTTTAATATGTATTCATGACTGCCATATTTGATAATTTCGCAGAATTCTGTCATAATATATTTCAAATTTAAATAAATAAATTAATAATTGTCGGAATGCATATTTTTATGAGCTATTTTATCAAGTAAGATTCAAAATAATTTTTGTAATTATTTTGAAAAAATTAGGCGTATATTTCAAAATGAAAATAATAATTTTTTAAAAATCGCAATAATTGTGTCACTCGCAGGAATACCCACACTTACCCTACTCCTAACCTAAGTCGGCTGCAGCCGCAAAAGTAGGGACCCCAAGAGTTTGTGAGTTAGAAAAGTTTAGTAGTGATGTTGAGGAGATTGTAAAGGTCCGAAAGGGCATACAATGAAATCATACTTTTACCTAAATATTTCAAAATTAATTGAACTTTGAAAGAGTTACGTTTACAATTTTTATAAATAGATCAACTTCAAAAGGTTTGATTTAAATGGCCACACTTTATAAAACAAAACACAAAAGGAAAAAATTTAATAAAAAAAAAGAAAACTATTATTTATAGAATATTAAAAAGATTTTAAAAATCACAAAAGAAAAACTACCTTTCCGTGTCCTCAGCCGGCACGTGAGAGTATAGCCGCGGTTGAATCTTTCGTCGATGAATTGCGAATGTCAATGATTATCCTAATCATTCACAATATTCATCGACCCTGCGATTGAACCCGCTAATCCTCACTCTTGTCCGATTAATATTAAAATATTCTCGGAAGTCGATCAGGTCATATTTGGCAAGAGCAGACATTAATAAAATTTTCCAGAAGAATTCAATTATTTAAAAAAAATTTAATAAAACTACACAAACATTTAATTATTTTCATAAATAATATATTAAAAATTTCACAGAAATTGAATTATTAAAAAAATTTTATACATTTCTTCGCAGTAATTCAATTATTTCCATAAATAATAAAATTTTTACAGGGATTCAATTATTTTCATAAATTTTAATAAAATATTCTTGTTAAAATTTCAATTATTTTCAAAAATTTTCCACAATACAATGAGTTTCAATATGAAGGAGTTTACACCGTAAGCCTTAAATATAAGCCTCCGCGCGCATAAACGGATATACCTCCAGGAGCATATATTTGCGCCTGCGCGAACACGTGGTCAAGGCAAACTCTTTCACAACACAGCTGCAGGCAAACACATTGCGCAGACGCAAGTATATCCTCATGGAGGCATATCCGTTTATGCTCGCGGAGGCTTATATTTAAGGCTTACGGTGTAAACTCCTTCTATCTACTATTTTAATAAAATTTTCCAAATTAATTCAATTATTTAAAAAAAGTTTCGATTAAATTCTTCGCAAACATTTAATTATTTTCATAAATAATCAAAATGTCATATGATCAATCCCAAGTAGAAATGTAATACTGGCATAGTACTGATCTTGTACTGACTGCCAGTATTGCAGTACTGACTCCAGTACTAAGTCAGTACTGGGAAAACCCTGGCTGGTAACGCTGTCCAGTACTGATTTTTACCGGCGGTCAGTATAAGCTCCTTATTTAATTATTAAAGCATGGGGAGTAATTTATTCAATACTAATAATTATTATTAGTATTAATTATTATTAATTAATTATTAGAATTCCTTTTATTAAAATAAGTTTTAAAAAAATATTTTTCTTATTTTTTCATTATTTATTTAAATCTTATTTATTTAAATTAATGACTAAATTATTATTATTACTGGTTATTAATTATTTAAACTTATACTTTATGTAAAACTGTTAAGAATTATACACAAAACACTTAAAACTAAGACGGAAAAATATCGCACGCACGGGGGACCGAACCCTAGACCTCGAGGACGCAAGTCGAATACACATACCGCATAGCCACGCAAGCTCGGGAGTTGTCTCGCATAAACTTCCTTTTGAATTGTGGGACCGATATATACAGTGCTTTAATAATAAATCCACTGCATATTATATTTATTTCAAGAAAAATTATTATACATATATCTTTATATACATTTTATCAAGTCATTATGTAGTAATTAATAGATACATCATAATAATATGGTAAAAATTATTAATATAATTATTTATTTATTATTTATAATCTAATTATTTATTAAAATAATAATAAAAAAAAATTTATTTAAGAAAAATTTTTGTTAAATAAATAAATAAAAATATATATACAGCTTTAAAAAATAAAATTTTTTTTATTATTAATAATACGTAATAATTCTAAAAATAATTAATTAATAATAATTTATTATTATATTATTAAAATATATCTATTAGTTAATAATAAATTAATAGAATGTTTGATATTATTGTTGATGAATAATGTTTTTACAAATCTTTGCAAATATTTTAATTGTTAATAAATCAAACGATGTTTAATGTTTAATTACATTATAACAAATTTTGATTGTTTTTTTAACTCCTTCGCAGTACTGATTTAGTGTTAAGCCAGTTTTCTGCCAGTACTGATTTTAGAACTTTTCTAACTCCGACATAGTACTGATTCGGTTTTGGAGTCAGTATACTCCCAGTACTGATCGGGTTCCGAAAGTCAGTACCGACGGTCAGTACTGAGTCAGTACCATGTCGGTGTTTAACTCCGTCCTAACTCCGGACATTTCTACTTGGGATATTGTTTACAGATTTTTTAGAAATTTCTTCGTAATAATTCAACTATTCTCATAAATAATAAAACTAGTTTCAGAATTTAAATTATTTTTTATACAATTTTAATCAAATTTTTCGAAAAATGTAATTATTTTAAAAAATTTTATTAAAGTCGTCAAAGAAATTAAATTATTTAAAAATTTTTTAGTAAAATTCTTCAAGAGAATTGAATTTTAAGAAACATTTAATTATTGAATGAATTATTTTTGTATTTAAATAAATGAATTCTCGTAGAATTCTTTAATAAAAATTTTCCTATGAATGAATTGTAGTTAAAATTTTAGATAATAATTGAATATTAAAAGCATTGTAGCATGAATTTTTATAAATAATTGAATTTCGAAAAGGATTCAAATTAAAATCTTTGAAAATTTGAATTCTTCATACTTTTAACTGACAATTTTGTAGAATTAATTTGTTTTGAAAGAGTTTAATTATTATTGTTTTTTAAATTATTTGAAGTTTTTACTTTCTAATCTATTTTTAATTGAAGAATTTCCGAATTAATGAAATTTCGTACAATTGAATTGTAAAGTGAATTTGAAAATTCTCAAAGAACTTTTTCAAAAATTATTATAATAATAATTGATTTAAAGAAGAATTTCAGTTAAAAATTAAAGATACAATCACTCCGAGTCTTCGACTTGGAGTGATCGCTATCTTTATGTTTTATAATAATATTCATTTAAGTTGTTGAATTTCAAAAAGGTTTGAATTTGAAATTTTTGAAAATCTTATTCCTATAGAAAAATAATAATGATCTTAAAAATGAAGTTATTGATGAGTGAATCAGAATATTCTTTAGAGTCAGGGAAAAAGTGAAAATTTTGTTTGGAAACCAGGGAAAAGTGGGAGAGAAATAAAATAAAAATTTTGTGTGAACCGTGGATAAATATAAATTTAAAATAATAAATAGGTACCATAAATATTTAATAGTGAAGACAATCTAGAGAATAAATTGTAAAATAGTTGTGGTTTAAATTTTCAGGTGCATCCCGGATGGGGGGGACGTTTGTTACACGATGACGGAGCTGCAACCGTCACCGCCAGGTTATCGCGGTCAAGATGAGGCCCCGGGACCACCAGGCTCTTTCAAATACACGAATCACGGCCACGTGTCCGAGGTTGCCAATTACAAGGGCACCACAACGTATCCTCAAGAGGGCTACAACCTCAAGAGTACATCTCGTTCGATCCCTGCTAGCGAATACTATCGGCGAAGGAACGACAATTCTAGAAGGTCCACGGAAAACGACATCGATAACGAGAATCTCAAGAAGGCCTCGAATACCGGTTACAACGATGGCTACAAGAAGAATACTCCAGGCTATAAAAACGACAGCGGGTAAGCTTCATAACTATCGCTAACACACAAGCTCTTCATGTCTCTTATTTATTCACAGAAAATATATATATATAATGTACGTGTACCTTTATACACAGCTTCCGATAATGGTTATCTATGTAGACAAGTATTACAAAAAGAACAAGGAATAATTTCCCTCATTCAATGTTTTCATTTTAGAAAAAACTATTCTGCAATGTACGCTTTGATGTTTCATTTATTTATTTCAATTTTATTAATTCATTTATTCATTTATTTATTCGAATTGCATTTCGATACATACATATATACACAAATTAATCAATTATGAATATCAATTTACTTTTTATACAAAAATATTAAACAAAATAAAATGTGACGCAGACCCCGCTGTCCGATTCGAGGCACGATGACGAAGTGAAATCACAAGGCCATCGCTCCAGGAATCGTCAGCGGTTTTCCCGGTATTTTGTCCATACTTCACTTTGATAGGCTAAACAAAATACGTCATCTCAAAATTCGCGAGCGTGCCACCAAATTTCATACCCCGACAACCCGACTTACACTTTTGTACATTAAGAGAATAAACCATCGCTTCAAAACTAAGCTGTCCGGATTTACCCCAATAAATTTTAGGAACAGTTAGTTAGATCCGGACAGTTAGTTTTATGCGATTAAAGCTTATCTAAATTTTTTTATGCTCCACAAAATTAATGTAGGGAACACAAGGGAGAAATTAATGCAATAGAAAACCGGAAGTATTGCCTTTTATAATAAAAAACTTACGTCATTTGTGAAAAGTAGGTATTTTGACCGGATTTACCCCAACTCACCCAACTGACCCTAATCGATTTCTTTCGACTAATTTTATTCAAATTCTAATTTAAATAATTAAATTCCTGAGAAAATTTTATTCATGAAAAAAATTGAATTCTTACAAAGATTTTTACAAAAAATTTTAAATAATTGAATTCTGTTTGAAAATTTTATGAAAATAGTAGGTAGATATTGAAAATCTTTAAATTGCGAAAAGTTTTTAAAAATAATTAAATTTTACGAAGAATTCTATTAAAATTTTTGCCAATAATTGAATTATTTATGAAAATAATTGAATTTTGGATGAATTTTATCAATTTTTTTTAAATAATTGAATTCTTTTGCAAAATTTAATAAAAATGAAAAAAAAAGAAACAGAAATAGTAGCTTTTAGTCGCTGAAATCTAAAAAAGTAGTAAATAGAATTATTGAAAATTGCAAAACAAAAATGTAAATTGCAGATACAGTGAGAGCATCGGATTCGACAGCTTTAGTCTCCCGCTCAACGAGAGGGACGAATCTTCACCACCGCCGACGCCACCGGTCAGAGATGCCTCGAGTCTCAAGAGCGTCTGTTACGGTCCAGGACACGAGAAATATCCATCCTGGCCAAGTGCTCCAGAACGACATCCTGAAGAGGAAATTCACACATCGACAAACACTGGATCCCATCGCTCGAAATCGTGGACAGATCACACAAATTATCCCAAGGAAAAACCAGCACAATACACAAGACCCCATAACAAAAGGCCCAATCCCACATTCACGCAACAGGTTTGTAATTATTTGTTTCTCTCTCCCATAATTTAGAATATAATATACTAAATATACACCATTTTAGCTGTCATAATAATCTCCTATAATATTAACATATTCGTTGTCGTTTTGTCGTCCGTCGTTCGTGTACTTCCGTACTTCATCGTTCAGTCGTTCGACTTTTATCATTTATCACTTATTCATAGTATCGTATATACATACATATACTCATTGTACATACATATACGCATGCGCAGTAGTGTTCTATGAATATCAGGCATGCGCAGTAGTGTTCTATCAGTATCACGCATGCACAGTAGTGTTCTATCACTATAACGCATGCGCAGTAGTGTTCTGTCAATGTCAGGCATGCGCAATAGTGCTCTGTCAATGTCAGACATGCGCAGTAGTGATCTACCAATGTCAGGCATGCGCAGTAGTGTTCTATCACTATAACGCATGCGCAGTAGTGTTCTATTAGTATCACGCATGCACAGTAGTGTTCTATCACTATAACGCATACGCAGCAGTGTTCTATCACTATAACGCCAATCATATGATTATTTTTCCAAACAGCGAAGGGGTTTATAAGATTGTTTCAAATTTTTTTAATTCTTTTGGTCTAAGTTTGCCAACCTGCATTTTCTAAAAAAAGTTTCGTAAATTCGTATAATTCAAGTTCTTTGAATCAAATAAATATATAGATAAAAAAAATTATTTGAATGAGATAATTTTTTTTAGCGTGCTAATACTTTTACGTATGCAAATAGAAGAACATTAATTTATTTATTATAAATTTGGTATAAGGACTACATAAATAATTATTTGACGCAATTAAAGAGATATTGGTCTAAATTAAAATAATTAATTATGAAAAATAATTGCATATTTGATATAAATAAGGGAAATTCCACGTCAACACGGACAGAGCTCTAAACAAAAATTGCTTTGATGGATTTAAACGTTTTAGGGCTTAAAAGATTTCTACATTCATGTACTTTAAGATGCCGATGGGCGTTTTTTGCAAATTTTCATTTCCGATGCCAATAGAGCTGTCAAAAGTCGAAAGGTCTAAAAATCTCAAAATACTTTTATGAATTAAAAGCAAAAAATTGGACAAGTGCGAGTTGTACTCGCACTGCAATGGCGGGTTCCGCACACAAATATTAAAACAATACTTGCAACATTGATCGGTAAATGGTAGAATTAAAATAAACAATTATAAAAATATATTAAAATCATTTGATAAAAAAAAATAACTAAAAAAATTAAAGTATTGTATATATCTAATATTGTAAACAATAATAAGCAGAGGAACAAAATTTTCAAAATTTATTATAGTTCCTCTGCTTATTATTGTTTACAATATTAGATATACAATACTTTAATTTTTTTTAGTTTTTTTTTTTTATCAAATGATTTTAATATATTTTTATAATTGTTTATTTTAATTCTACCAATTACCGATCAATGTTGCAAGTATTGTTTTAATATTTGTGTGCGAAACCCGCCATTGCAGTGCGAGTACAACTCGCACTTGTCCAATTTTTTTTATTTTTAGTTAAGAAATTAAAGTCAGAAAACAATCTCTCATTTATTCTCTTAAAATTTCACTCTCTTCCTTAAAATATTTAATGCCACGTGTTTAAACTAAAAAAAATTTAAAAAATTTTTTTTTTTTGAAAAAAAAAATTAAAAAAAATTTTTTTTTGATTTTTTTTTCAAAAAGTTTCTTAAATAAATTTTTTGTCGTCAGACTGTAATAATACACTAGGATACTAATTTTCAGCTCATTAGGTCAAATAATGTAAAAGTTAGAAAAAAAAAATTTTTTTTTTTAAATTTTTTAGTTTTTCCTTGACAACGCTATGCCCATCACGTCCAATCACATTCGCTATATTTTTCCTGTAATCTACGTGTGAAAATACATATCTGTACCAAATTTGAGCTCTTTAGGTCAAATAGTTTAGCCGCTAGGGGGGGGACACGATTTGGCTACGGACAACAGAGTCTCACCAATAGGGTTCCGCCGATACACCGTAGGTGTACGGAACCCTAAAAACGGGGTAAATTATTTTGTAGCTCATTCTTTAACAGTTTTTAGGGTCCCCGAATATAAATCTGAAATTTTTTTTTGAAATTCAAAATGGCGGATCCAATATGGCGGACAAAATTCAAATTTGAACAGATTCGATTAAAACTTGTTACTCGGGGTTTTTTTGGGTCGCTGATTACGAATCTGACGTCACTTTTTAAAAATTTTAAATTCAAAATGGCGGAAAAAATTTTCAAATTTGACTGAAAAAAATGTCCAATTTTGATACATTTCGCTTAAAGTTTGTAATAATAACCAATTGTTTACATTATAGAACATTATGAACAGTATGAATTTCTTAAAAGTGACTTCAAATTCGTAATCAGATACGCTAAAAACCCCCGAGTAACACGTTTTAAGGAAATAGGATCAAATTTGAAAATTTTATTCGACATATTGGGTCCGCCATTTTGAATTTTTAAAAAGTGACTTTACACTACCGGTCAAAATTGAGAGACCACCCATTTTCAGACGAATGAAAATCGTTTTAAAACATAAAATTTATTAAAACTAAAATTTTTTTCTGCTAATTTTTTTTAAAGATGATAAAATTTTAAACAGAACAAGATATTTCAGAAGTCGTTTGGCCAATAATTCATTTAGATATTTTTAAAAATCGCCATTTTCAATGTTTTACAAAAATTTGAATAACTTCTAAAATAATGAACGCTTTTTAATGATCTTAGGCTTATTTTAAAGGTCATTTGCTACACTATATGAATTACTTATAGGCATTAACGTGTAATTTTTTTCTTAAAAAATGCAGGCGGTCAAACTTGAACCAAAAAAATATAAAAAATTTGAAACATTCTTATTTACAGAAAAATAATTTTTAAAATTCAAACGTATTTTTTTATTAAATTTTCTTGAAAAATCTACACCATATAATGTTTTATGTATTTTCGAAAATAGTTTATAGTACAGAAAAATTGTTCCAAATTTTTTGAATTTTTTTGGTCCAAGTTTGACGGCCTGCATTTTCTAAGAAAAAAATTACACGTTAATGCCTATAAGTAATTCTTATAGTGTAGCAAATGACCTTTAAAATAAGCCTAAGATCATTACACAGAAAATAAAAAGTGTTATTTTAACACCGAATTTGGTGTTAAAATAACACGCAACAAATTTAACCGTCATAGGTGGCGCCACATTCTATGTCGTTTAACATTGGTTAATTTAACACGCAACAAAAATCACACCAACTTTTTTCTAGTGTAAAAAGCGTTCATTATTTTAGAAGTTATTGAAATTTTTGTAAAACATTGAAAATGGCGATTTTTTAAAAATATCTAAATGAATTATTGGCCAAACGACTTCTGAAATATCTTGTTCTGTTTAAAATTTTATCATCTTTCAAAAAATAAAAAGCAAAATATTTGAGTATCCATACATTTTATGTTTTAAAATGTTTTTTAATCACCAGAAAATGGATGGTCTCTCAATTTTGACCGGTAGTGTAGATTCGTAATCAGCGACCCTAAAAACCACCGAGTAACAAGTTTTAATCGAATCTGATAAAATTTGAATTTTGTCCGCCATATTGGATCCGACATTTTAGATTTTTTTAAAAAAAACTTTAGATTTATATTCGGGGACCTTAAAAAACTGTTAAAGAATGAGTTACAGAATAATTTACCTCGTTTTTTGCTTTTAATTCATAAAAGTATTTTAAGATTTTCGGACCATTTGACTTTTGACAGCTCTATTGGCATCGGAAATGAAAATTTGCAAAAAACGCCCATCGCCATCTTAAAGTACATGAATGTAGAAATCTTTTAAGCCCTAGAACGTTTAAATCTATCAAAGCAATTTTTGTTTAGAGCTCTGTCCGTGTTGACGTGCGGAATGTCCCATAAATATTTAGTTATTTTAAAAAAATTATTTTATTGATGCAAATAAATATTTATTTGAATTAAAATCCATGCATTACTGAATCAAGTAATTTTCCTAATTGATTTAAAGCAATATTTATTAGATCTAATTATTCCATTCATTTGACTTAAATAATTCGAATTTGCTACAAATAACTATTTATTTGATACTACAAATTAAAATTTTTATATCAAGGGCAGTTCCATACGAAAAGTAAATGGTGGATCACCGATTTTTCTTAAAGTTTGTAATTTTGTAGTATTTGGGGTACTAAATAACTGTGCCAAACAGTTTTGCAAAAAAAAATTTTTTTTGCAAGATATTTAGATTTGAAAACTCGGAAACTGAAAATAAATAAATAAATGTCAGTTTTTTATAATATTAAAAAAAGTTAAGAAAAATTAAATTTTCAATAATTTGTTTAAACAATAATTTTCTATTGTTCAAAAAATATGCTAAGGACATCATGGAGTTTCCTAAAAAAATTATTTACTGAAAATATATATATTATAAATATTATTATAAACAGTTTAACTATATATTTTAAACTTTTTTATAAAAATTATTTTCCTTTTTTATTGTAAAAAATCTTTTCCTCCACACTTTATCCAGGCTTATATTTATAATTTTTTATTTTTATGGTCTTCAGTGGAACAAAAGTCAAACGTTATTGTATCAAATTTATTTTCTACTAACTGAAAAAATGCTTTAAGGAAAAGATTTTTTACATTAACCCATTGATGCCTACAGGCAAAGGAATGCAGATATAATAAAATTAACTATTGGAATCCTGGCATGGGATCTAATGATAATTTTTGTCGTTGAATGTTAAAAAAATATTTTTTAACAATTTTTTTTTTATACTTAAACAAATGAAGAAAAATCGATTTTTATAAGAAACTTATAGCGCTATTTGATTCTACGCTAAAAACCACTACTAAAACATATATTACATAATTTTTTAAAAAAGACCTATTGGTGTAAAAATGTTATAAACAATTAGCCTGCATGCATACTGTATGATGTATAAGGATCGTTTTTTAAGTTAAAG